ACCAAGGTTAAGAAACAATGATTCTTTAGGCTTAACATTTGCTTACAAAAGTACCAAGTTAAGAAACAATAATTCTTTAGGCTTAACATTTGCTTACAAAAATGCCAAGATTAAGAAACAATAATTCTTTAGGCTTAACATTTGCTTACTAAAGTACCAAGGTTAAGAAACAATGATTCTTTAGGCTTAACCTTTGCTTGCAAAAGTACCAAGGTTAAGAAACAATGATTCTTTAGGCTTAACATTTGCTTGCAAAAGTACCAAGGTTAAGAAACAATGATTCTTTAGGCTTAACTTGCAAAAGTAGCTGTTTTTTTTTTAAAGAATGCTTTAAATTATATTACTATTGAAGAAAGTTCTGCACTTACTATAACAAAAGTTTTGCAATGAAAAAGTACTCAGTTTTGTTCTATTGAGATTAATTGATACTGGCAATATTTATGGTTCTCTGTACTTAAAGAAGAAGAAAACTTGTTTAATAAAACATTAAATATATTTTTATTTCCTGTTTGTTGTTTTGATTACATGTAACATTTCAGATTAAATTGAATTTTTCTGGGAAAATTTAAGAATATTTTAATGTTGTCTAGACCTGAAAATAAATATATCTGTATAAGGTATTTTAAAAAGGCTACGGTGTCATATTTATGGATTAATTTTGATGAGAATGAGATAGTTATGCCGTTCATGATTAAGTTGTTTCTTAAGTTTATATGATAGAATGTAAAATTAACTTTTGATTTGCTTTTCTTCTGCAGTGATGTGTATTTGTCATCACGAGACAGGCAAGTACTAGACTGGCATTTTGCTAATCTGGAGTTTGCTAATGCTACACCTCTGAACAACTTGTCACTGAAACACTGGGACCAGGATGATGATTTTGAGTTCACAGGAAGTCATCTAACAGGTTAGATTTTATAGAAAATATTATTGTGTGTGTGTGTGACAGGGTAAATTTTATTTAAAAAAGTAAAGTGTTAATATGTGTCTAACAGGTTGGATTTTATAAATGAAAACCAGTTCACACTTTTTTTTTTTATTTATAAAAAAGCATTTTGTATGTGGTTAACAGATTGGATTTTATCTTTAAAAAGTGCTGATATATCTATAAGTAGTGTATTTCATGAAGCAATTCAGAAAAAAAAAGGGTTATTGTTACTGCAGAAAGTTTTGTACCAAGACATAATCTTTGCGAATGTGTTGGGAAATATTTTATTCATGATTTTAATGAAACATTTGGAATTTTTGAGTTCTTTACCATGAAGTAATAACAGTATAGTATCTCTTTTAACACTAAATGTCATACACATAATGTTAATTAACTTGTTATTCAAATAACAGTATTTATTTAAAACTATATTTTATCAACTTGTGATATTGAAGAGCGAAAAAACATCAAAAATTAATGGAATATTTCTGTTTACCCGAGGCTTCTCTCTTATATCTACTTCTCCATAATAAATGTTAACTTCAAATTAATATAATATTAGAATAATTAACAAATTAATTCAAAAGTTTTATCTACTAGCTAAAACTAGCCAAAGCAAAACAAGTTTTAATTTAATCGTGTACTAAAAAAGCTTCCATTGTAAAAGCAGAACATATTTAAATTGGTAATTTAAATATGTATTATCAATAATCTGTGTGTGGTAAAACAGAAAAATATATAAAACTTACCTTAACACCATTAGATGGAGCTTTTTATTAGAAGCTTTAAGCACAGGTACACTTAACTGATTTTTAGTGAAAAATTAAATGTTATTTTTTCTGAGTTAACGATAGTTACTGATTAATTACAAAGTATACAATACAACTTATGTATATAATAATTTCACAGTTATAATTAATCAGTAAGAAGAGTGGGCTTGTGAATGAGGTCTTTGACTGGACAAACCCAAAATTATATATGCTTTTGAGAAAAATGATGAAAATAGACAAGTTATTTAATTCTGTATTTGAACTTAACGATAGATTATGTTAGGGTCATGATTTTCATTTCTTATGATGATCTTCATTATGGCCCTGATTGATTCTTCATTTAATTCAAATATAAAATTAAATCATTTTTCTATTGACAATATATTTTATTATAAAACAGTATAAAAAAGACAAAAGCATAAGTTTTATCTTTTTTTATCATTTACCAAACATCATTCTGTGATCTTAACCTTCTGACCTGAAAATTCACCTTTACTCTGAAACTTCCTTCTTCTCCATTTTTGTGGTTTTATCTGTAAGTATTGAATGTTATTGTTATTTACAATATTTCCTTATGGATTTTGTTTGTTGTAAACCAGCCAACTGGGTCACTTTCATTATTGAAAGAAAGTTTAATTTGAATTGGCCAGATGAAGTGTTGTTGAAATGCTATTATACATTTTTCTTAACACATCTCCAAGTTGACTTAGTGAAAATCAAGATTTTTGAAGATTTTCCCAACTTAGTTGGGATCTCTTATCACCCTGTTTGCTCTGTTTAGTAGTTAGTGTGTTGGGGTATACAGTTGGAGTCCATATTTCGAGATGGGCTGTTACTGAGTACACTACAGATTTTCAGCTGAAGGTGTATTACAAAAGTGACAGTCAACTCTGCCATTTGATTCAAAGAGTTCAATAAAGCCCTTGTGGTTGCAGGTGCTGCTGTCTGCCTGTCCTTTGGTCAGTGGTTCGAAATCTATACCTCTAATCTAGAGGGTCTCTGACTTGGCAAACCATATGTCCAGAAAGAGTCGTTCAAGTTGAAACTTCCAAATAAACAAAGAAGAAAGATTTTTTTTGCAAAACAACATCAGTTTAAAGACAGTGGAACAAGATGGACTAAGACATGAAATGTTGTAATTATTGTAATTCACTGAATGATTAGCTGAGTTGCCTCTGTTAGTGATGTATCTGGCCAAAATACCAGTAAACATCACAAGGTTTGGTCAGCACAAGTGAAGGGTCTTTTGAGGTTTAAATGTGTATCTTATGAAGTTGGTTATCCTTGTTGACCTCCTTACTTTCTGCTGATGTATCAGTTTGTATTTGTATTTGTTTATAAACATCATTGTACACTGAAATACTCTTTCTTGTTTATTAGGTATGACCATACATAGTTTTATGGAAGTGACTAGGCAGTGGTCTTCTTTATTTCTTTTTTGTTTTTGGATAGTGTAATCAATCATAAGTATTTGTGAAGACTTTTTAAGTATCAAGAAACTTATGAAGAAGCTAGACACACAGTAGTTTAAAATCTAACACAGGAGGAACTTCCTATTCTTTTTTATTATGAAACATGTAAAATGTACTATAGCATGATGAGAAAGAACTAAAGCATTCAGGAAGGTTGAATTGTGCATATGAATTAATGTCACCATAGTACCAAACTCAATAGATATTGGTAGGAATTGTGGACTGAATGTCACCATAGTACCAAACTTAATAGATATCAGTAGGAATCTTAGAATAAATATCGGTAGAAATCTTGGACTAAATGTCACCATAGTACCAAACTCAATAGAAATCTGTAGGAATTGTGGACTGAATGTCACCATAGTACCAAACTCAATAGATATCAGTAGGAATTGTGGACTAAATGTCACCATAGTACCAAACTCAATAGATATCGGTAGGAATTGTGGACTGAATGTAACCATAATACCAAACTCAATAGATATCGGTAGGAATTGTGGATTAACTGTCATCATAGTACCAAACTTAATAGATATCGGTAGGAATTGTGGACTGAATGTCATCATAGTACCAAACTTAATAGATATCGGTAGGAATTGTGGACTAAATGTCATCATAGTACCAAACTTAATAGATGTCGGTAGGAATTGTGGACTAAATGTCACCATAGTACCAAACTCAATAGATGTCGGTAGG